GATCAGAGCGAATCATCAAAATCACTTCCTGGTTTCCTGACCTGCTGACTGCTAGACGCCGTGGGGGGGTCTCTGTGGTGGCCTTCAGCCTGACGGTCGTTTGGAGGCCAAACTATCTGACTGAAACCGTCCGTCGGTGGCTTTCCCTCCGCGTGGCTGCAAAACATTCACGCAGCCTTTTTTTTAAATTTATTTTTTGAATCAGTGTAAAGGCAGAAGAATCCTCTGAGCTCATTAGTGGAGCTCCGCTGATCTGTCCCCGGTTTAGGTGACTTATTTTAAGCCTTTGCACAATGACTGAGCCTTAAATTAGCAGAAGAATCCAGGACGCGTCGTTCAAATATTTTATTGACAAAAAATGACAGCAGTTGTTTTGCAGATTGAATCCAAAAAGCTTTCAGAGAAACACCGTGATTGTTCTGCAGCTCGTCTGGCTCTGCTTTAAATCTACACGTTTGCATCTTTGCATCCCATAATTCCCCCAAAACCTCCACCAGCGCGCATGTGCATGAATTACCAGGTAACGCAGAGTCTGGCTGCAGTGAAGGATCTCCCAAGAAGATGATGGAGAGACTGTCTCTCTGTGGTCTCTGCCTCCCCCCTCTCGCTCTTCCTATCTCCGTCTCCCCCTCCTCCTCCTCCTCCTCCTCCTCCTCTTGTTTCCAGGCCTTGGCTCGGCCCGAGCTGCGGCGGTTTTCTCGTCCGGGACTCTGTCCAGTGGCTCAGCAGCGCTGCATTTGCATAACCATATTTGTGTGCCCTCGGCCTGCCAAGTCGACCTCCTCGTGTCAGGGCCCCAATAAATAATACATTATTAGATTCTTCAGTTTTCTGGGTGGAGGAGATTCGCCTAATAAAGTACTTCTGGGAAAAGCAGAGCGAGAGCCGCCATGTGAGGGTTCCATCTGAGCTCTGTGAAGATCCATCCAGGTCAGGGTGGTTCTGGTAGATTCATGGCAGCAGGTCCAGTTTAATCTGCAGCTCTGATCGAACAAAAACGCGCTTTTTTGTGTTTGACCCCAAAAGGTTCCAGTTTTGTAGCTAAACAACAACCATGTGTTCAGTCAGAGTGACTCAGCCGCATTCCTCCCGCAATTAGAAGTTTAGAAGTGACAAACAGTGGCTTGGATTCAGACGCTGCTTCCTTTTCTGAGACTCAGTAACGCAGCAGACTGGAGGTTCGGTTCGGTCCTCCTGCTTCGGAACGCAGTGAAAGTTGGAGATGTGAAGTCAGGCTGGTTGGAAATCTCTCCTGTAGGTCTGGAAGAAAGGTTTTATCTGCTCGAGCACCACTGGCCGGTCCGTCCGTCTGGTCCGGGAGGAGCACTTGAGGAGGAAAATTGCATTTGCTGAACGTTTCCCGTCGGAGCGCTTCATTGTGTGGCCCCAATTTAAAATGTCATATTTTCTGCGTCGCGTTTCAAAAGGCTTTACGCAGCATTTGCTCTGTTTTTGACTCGGGCCCAGAGTTCCATGACGAGCTGAGCGGGCCAGCCAAACTGGGCCGCTGCTCTTCCAAGCTGCGAGCGGCAGGTGATTTGGAAGAGAAGCGCTGCTCTCCCCGTCGAGCCAAGTTTCCTGCGTAGAAAGCCTAAAGGGCAGTAATTCCACTGTTTCAGCGCTGCCTTCTCATCATCTCCCTCATTTCCCCCTCAGACTCAGAGGCGAGTCCCGGCTCGGACGGAGAGGGTCTCGCCGAGAGGACGTCGTGTTCTTTCGGCTCACCTGCCGACCTGGCCCCCGGCCCCTGTGACCCGTCTCCGCCGGCCTCCATGGAGGAGATCCAGGTGGAGCTGCAGTGCGCGGACCTGTGGAAGCGCTTCCACGACATCGGCACTGAGATGATCATCACCAAGGCGGGCAGGTAGGCCAGCGCACGTACACAGACCTCCTGGAGACGTTTTGGATGAGGCGAGCAGACCGCGCGTAAAAGGCGAAGTTTTACGCGCAAAACGTTTCCTGTTTACTTATTTTACCAAGAAAACAGCAAAGTTTTCTCCAAATAACTTCCTAGCAGGTAAACTTATGACATCTCAGACTTAAGTCGTCACATGAAGGCGCAGCTTCATTAAACACAAAAGCGCACAAATGCACAACTTCTTTCTTTCTTTCTTTTTTAAGGAATCACACACACACACCTCTGCGCTCAGACTGGAGGGTGTTAATGTGTTGCACATGCAGGCCGCTCCGCTGCGTTCAGGCCTCCATGACGCGGCAGGTTCCTCCTGACGCTGGAGAATAAAGTGGAGCTGGTTCTAATTAATCTCTTTAGCGTGTTCTGGCTTCTCTCGCTCTCCCGAGCCAACGAGTCCAAACCCGGAGCGAGAACAGGAGTTGACCTGCGGATCCTGGAGGGAAGAGCTTTTCCCCCGCAGGCTGTCCCGCATTTCAACCAACATCTCCCCACTTGTGCTCACCTTCAGCCGGTGGGACTGATTCCACACTTCACGGCAAACAGCTGCTCGTTGTGTTGTCGAATCTTTAAAGGTTGTGGAGACGTTCTTTTGATGTTGGATAATAATCAGAGGGTCAAAAGTGTAATAATTATACCTGTGTTAGAAACATTGAAATATTCATGACAGATGTGCAGCAGCAGGAAAACTGTGCTCACATTATTGTCCATCTTGTTGTTAATACCGAAAAAAAAAATCACCGAGTTTTGATTTTGCGCTTTTACGCATCCAGTCTTCTGTTAACCTCTCTGTGTACAATGTTGTTATTATTATTATTATTATTATTATTATTATTATTATTATT